AATTTCTCACAATTCGGTAGACACGCTGATTAAATTTGGGTCTTTTTTGCGTAGAATTTCAATATAAAGAACATTCAAATTGCTTTTGCTTACCAACGTCATGCGTTTAAGCTCATTAAAACATCAGTAAGTTGGAGCTAGTTAACTTCATCGCAGTCACAAAGGGGGCACGATTTAAGCGAGAGTATGTCAACAAAAATCATCAAAGAAAACTTTAAGGAATCGGTAGATTGTTTTGGCGTTTGGGTAAGCTTGGTTCACCGGAAAGGCGATCGTTTCAGAGAAGAAATCCCGGCTATTGCTGATGGAGCATCTGTTAGCCGAAACACGTTGGACATCCAGTTGCAGACGAAATTTGGTGATACGGATTGGCGACAAGGTCACCAGAGTTACCTTATCATTGACATACTGTAAAGTGCATATTAAGGCCATTTATTTGCCGAATTTCAAAATGCGGATACCCCGATGTCGACAATTTAAGGGTCCTGTGGATAAACAAAATCCGGCAAAAACTTTGATTGCAACAGGTTCCAAAAGTGCAGTATACAGAATAATTAAACAAAAAATTAGAATCATTAAAAGATGATAAATATATACCATGGCAATGCATTCCTTAAGGATAAGCTCCACGTAGTTATTGGTCAACTCAAGCGAGTACACGGACGATCTACCCTGAAGTGAACTGGCCGTAGTAGGAAGTATTCTGCCCTCCCATGCACCATTATGACTTCCTATAATGCGAAAGAGCCTAGTTCCATTAGAGCAAAAGTGGCTTGTCAAGCATTGCTGTATTTGTCTTGTCACGTTTCCAATAACCCAAGCTGGGGTGTCTTCACTAATGTCTCCTTTCCCTCTTCCTGCTTCCTCTAAATTATAAAAACACAAAACAACATTGCGAATGCAACACGTCTTGACAATCCTAACACGTAAAACAAAGTCGCAAAGGGAAAATTTTATACGCAAAACAAACTTGCGAACAGGGACACGTCTAAACAATCAAACGCGCGTCATCACTAAATTTGAACTCGCGTGAATGTAGTGCAAATTACACAAAACAAACAAACCTGAGTTAGTGGCAGCCCATCCGAATACGCAGATTATGTGAACTATGAGAATGTAAAACGCCGGCCACATTACAGCAAAACCGACTGTTAAATGTGGTGGGGATTAGGAGGTTTATATAGATATGCCATTTGTCTCAATTATAGTACAGGCGCTCAGCATCACATGCCTTAATGAACTCAACCACGCATGATTCCTTTGTTACCGGCGGCAACATTCAATGGACTGTTGAGTAAGCCGACGTAGAGTTTGACTGCATGGTATAGGTCAGAGCTATTAGTCTATTTCCAGTAATAGAGAAATCCATTCAAAATAACGATGACGTCGTTCGCATTTAGCGCTTATATGGTTGACTCCAAACATGCATTTTCAGCAGAACTCTGTATCGTTAACTATTGTTTCTACCATCTACTAAATTGCGATCATAGTGACAGATAAGCCAAATCTCTACAAGACATTTTAGAAGTCATCGGACCAATCAATGCTCAGAGTTTAACCTTACAAGAGTTATAGCGGCTAGATGCAAAACTACAGGCTAGTCTGCCGAGATATGGCTGTGGTGAAAATCAAAGCCTAATGCGTAGCCGAAATTCTCATGAAAGGATGTGATTTGTGTAAGGACCTATCCTTTTGATGAATAGGTAGAACCCGAAGACAAATGTGCTAATGCAGATTTGCAAGAAGCACGTGGTTGGTATGCTACTCTCATTTGCTAGCAGTGTCATTTAATTACGTGTCTTGACATCCACACCAGACGCGAAATTAAAGTCAATGATAGCTTTTTAACGCTTTAAAAATGTGTCTGTCAGAAGTGGCGATCACTTGCAAGGCACGGTTCCATTTCCTGTTGCATTTCCTAGTGAATGGTACATGAATTCAAAGCAAATCGTGTCAACGCAAAATTAAAGTCAGTGATAGCTTTTCAGCACAGCAAGACATGCATTCGTCATAAAAGGCTGATCACTTTCGAAGCACGGTTACATTTCCTGCTGCAAGTCGTGTAAATGCAGTTAGTTTCATCATGACCTCCCTTCCGCGAAAGTCGAACCCAACAGTCAAGTGCCTTGATTATCACACCTTAAAGACCCTGCAAATAAAGTCATTCTGGTGTTCAAACTGGCATTTCCCAGCATCAACAGGGTGGATTAGAAGGTTGATTCTCAAAAGAAGGTGCGTAAGGATGCAGTGTCTATGTTATCAGACCCAAAACGTGATATGAATTAAGGATGAGAACACAGCTGGTGTGGATAACGCAACGATACGAAGAAAACCGCATTGCGTTAATGGCTTAATTCAAGTCATGTGAGAAATCGCACATGAATTGCACTTTAGCAATCAATACTACTTCCAGACCACAAACAGACAACTTGTAGTGAAAATAGGGTTTAGAGTGATTTGGAGCAGTGTTTTACCACATACCTTGTTCTCTGCCTATCGTATTATTCACCTCTGATCCTAATACTAAACTGTATGCTCTCACGCCTTCATTACTGGTTGTTAATCTACCAGGTCACGCATGCCTGTTTCTCGTTGCTGAATGCCACATCTTATCACGTTGCCCTACAATACCCAACCATTTGTGATTCGCTGTAAATTTATGAACCCACATACCAGCAGTGAGTTCAACAAACTAGCAGATATTTTGGTATGTAGACAGGTCAAAGTGAATGTACCTGGCATCGTCACACCAAAATGCAGGGATAACATGTCTCATCTTCAAAAACGGCATCCTTCACACTAGAATATTGTCATAAATGTGGTCCATGTCACAAGCGGTATCACTTTTCGACTAAGCAAGCTCAATTTCCAAAAAGAGCGTACTCTAAATTGCGGTAACCTGCTGTCATCGGCCCTTATTCAAAATTACGTGGCGACTTGACAGTTAATAGTGCTTTTCGATGTTACTTACGTGAATGGAAATCAGTAGAACCAGTTGCACAACATTTAAAGTGGTCAAAGTCAACTTCCACAATGCATTTGTGCCGATAGACGACGCTCAGTGAACGGAGTTGTTGGTAAACGCAGTCATAGATCATACGTCATATGCTTTTCTCCACTCAACCAGCCTGCGCACATTTCGGCACTCACATGCACGATTGGTGCCACTCATTGACGGATAACCGTACAGTGATAGAGGTGCACCAAACGTCTCCTGAATCGTGACTTGCGCTCTACCTCGATCTAATCAAGGTACGTCACGGTGCTCACTTGGCATATTCGCTATAATATTATTTCCAGGATTCCGTTGAATGCGATGATTCTCCATTGGCATGGCCATTCTCAAATCTGCACAATCAATATGTGCCTACACTCAAGAGAAACCGGTTCTCATAGATGTGCCTCAAGTGAGGCAAACGCTTGGTGACTTCAGCCTATCATGAAACCCAATCCGTGTGCTTCGATTGAAAAAAGGCGACTTTATAATCAAACCACTTTGGCTAGTCATTACTTGTAGTTTTCACAGCAGCGCCTCTACCAATCGATACATGCGAAACCTCAGACAGCTAAACGAAAGAATGCTGGAATGTACCAATTGCAATCCTCACCTACATTTTCTAAAGATTCCATAAGAAAGCACAACCGTGTCCCTCTCTGGCACTCTGGGTGTTTCAACAATACAAATCCTTTCGGTCACCATTAATCTGCGCAAGTTGTACTTTGCTTGTCACTTTGGAAGTGGAGGTGCAGTCTCGTTGGTTTGCAATGCTGCGTGTTTTGAACCGTGTTTTACAATAAGTTGGTGTTTCTCTGCCT